AGCTGTGGGACAGCTCTGAGTGTCTACAGATTCATGAAAAAGAACAAGCAAGATAAATGCTTAATAACGTAATGAATAAGAATCTTCCAAAAGGAGTGAAGGCAATCAAATCATAAATCTGAGAAATGATTCTAGAGATATAGGGGCTTTGTAAACAAACTAAAAAAGAAAAGTAAAAATTATATGAAAACAAACATAGTGGTGTGTTGTATGTATTATACAGTTCAATATATGTTATACAGAGGCATGAAGGAAAGAAGTACATGAAACCTGTCCTCAAGATCTAGTTAATCTTATACTGGAAATTTTAACCCGTGTACTCAAGTAAGAAAAATAAATAAATAGAAATCATACAAATCATAAAAAGAAACAAAACTCTATTTGATTCATGGATGGTCTTTGCACAAAATTCCATTATGTACAAAATAATTAAAATTATTAGAAGTGAAGATACTAGAAATAAAATGTTTTGTAATTTCACACTACATGCTATCATAACACCATAATGTTAATGTACAAAATTATTTTTATATATAACTATTACAGCAAAAACCCAGACCTGCATAGAACATCCGCCAAAGAGATGGAGCTCAGAAAACAAAGGATAACTCAGACAAGTCAAGCTTCATGAGAAGATGAGCTTATTAGGACTCACATACAGGGCAGCAGGATAACTCCAGAGATCCACCAGCTGCCCACCATCTTCCTCTAAGCTGCTTTTAAGTTACTTTTCTGGCTCTTCTTACTGCTTGTGATGACAGTGTTTTTCTTGGTATGTTCCTAGATACGGATGTTTGGGTTTTAAGGGACATCTGCTCCTTGGCTGGGCACCATGAACTTTGCTTACCATCTAACCTTCAGGACTCAAGCAGCAAACACATGCACTTACATACCCTGGTGGGGGACCCAGGACCCATTACTCTACAACACTATTTATGAACCATTAAAAATTAGAACTTTTTTAAAGTCACGTTTAAGACAGCACAAGAAACATGAAATTCTTAATCTACAAAAATGTGGAAAAATGGGTAACAACTAAAATACACTGGTAAAAGAAATCAAAGAAGAATTAAATAAGTGAAGAGCTTCGTAGCCAATATTGACAAGAAGCTAATTCTGTTCAAAACATTCTAACAATTCAATCCTAAAATTCAATCTAGTTAAAATTCCTAGGAGGATATTTGCAATTAACCAACAAGCTCATTTACCACTTTCAACAGAGAACCAAAGGAATTATAATAGAAAAATCATTTTGACAATAAAAATGAAAGAAACCACTGATTTATATGTATATTATATACATATATGTAATATATGTGTATATCTGTTGGTGACTTTAACCATATTATTCATAATTTCAAAAACTGGTGAATAGACAAGAAGTTATATGCTATGTCTATTCAATATCACATTACTTAGTAATAAAAAGAAATCTGATAACATAACAACATGAATGTGTGTCAAATTTATTATGCTGTTTAAAAAGCCAGACATAAAGCCCATACAGGATGCTATTTGCTCCCTCGTGTATGACATTCTAGAAAATATAAAACGATTGGGACAGAGAACAGTGATTTTCAAAGACTGAGGGCGCAGAAATATTGATTCAAAAAGCACAAAAGGGAGTTTTTCTGGGTGATGGTACTGTTATATTTCTTGAGTATGGTATTTGTTATATAACCATCTAGGTTTGTAATACACTGAGTACTTGAAAAGATTACTTTTACCATATATAAATTTTAATTCGATAAACCTGAGTTTCTAAAACAAAGATTTACTTATAACCAGTAGGGTCACAATCCCATCTTCCTGCCATTGGCTAAAATGGTTTCAATAGTTGATTCCTCTTGTTCATGCCAACCAATGTGTCTTTTGTTTAACCAAAACCCTTGAAATATCTTTGCCTCAGGCTTTTATTGCAATTTCTTGTAATTTGAAGATTTCACCCTCCTATTCATCCTTATTGTTACATTTGCCCATCTTTTTTCAACTCCAGTTGCAGGGGTTAATATCTGGAAAGGATAATAGCTTGAAAACAGCCATGGTGGAGGGTTTACTCCTTGAAAGTCGTCATATACCATATATCAAGACTTTCCTTTCATTTGGGCCACTTGTTACCAACATCACTGCCTTTAGTCAACTCTATTAACAAGTATTTAACCTGGTTTAAAAAGGCACTTGTCAAAACAGAGATTTATATTGCTTATATGTTTAATATTTTTAAAATATGTATTTTTGTACTTCACTATCTAATTTAATATTTGGGGTAACTTTTATATGTATCCCAAATAGAACAGGACACTCTATCATTTGTCCTAACTTATGAGCTAATTTCAAGGTGAGAGAGGTAGATTCCATGTGGAGACATTGGAACCTAAAGAGCAATGTAATTGGGTCATAGATTAAATAATTTTTAAAATGTTTATTTTAAATATATATATTTTTTAATTTTCAGGAAAAAATTGATTTTTCTATATTGTTCTTGACTTAAAATACACATTACCCATTAGTTTTCTAGTTTTTGATGTTTTTCATAAAATTATCTAAAAAATGGCAAAATGCTTGTGGGATTAATATACAAGGGGCTTTGTAATCATATTGTAATTGCTTGACATAGTTCATTTCTTGACTCTGACTCTGGCATCTGAGTTTCATAATTGTCATAATTACTCAAATTTTTCAAATTAACGATTTTAAATGAACGTTTGTTTCAATTTCAGATCTTTTCTATTTCATGCAATAAATAATTTTTATCAGTAAATAATTATTTGGAAATATTTTTTTCAGAGCTCATGCTCCAATGATATAATTTAGTCCAACTTTCTGATTGAAAATATGCAAAGAAGAAGCCTTTTGTTTGTATTAATTGCAAGTCATCTTTGCATACACAATGATGATCACTCTATTTTCTTTAGATAGATAATTCATACTAATGTAACCCAATGATATAATCTTGGATGTGTAACTTACATACATGCAGGTAGTACATGAAGCATGTGGTGTGCTGAGATGGAAATAAGCTTGTAAAAGGCATTGATTATCTAACTGTGGCTTGGTACCTAGCACACCCTACTAGCAAGGGTCCCAACAGTCACATTGGCTCTATTTGACTTAGAAGATGCAGAGGTGGGCTAAAAATTTATCTCTTTTTCATAATTACATAAGACTGGGCATCCCTTCCCTTGCCTCAATCTGGGATTTTGAGAGCTTATTATAAAATCCCCAGTGAAAATCCACCCAGGTGGTTCTTCCCAGGTGGTTTAAATTAAAGAGGGAATTTAAAAAATTCCCTCTTTAAATTTTCCCACCCTAGTGTGAACAAGCTAGAAGTTGATTCTATGAGGCAGTGACAACAGACAATGTTCAACTTCTACATTCCTTAATGTTTGTGTATCGGAAGAAGGTGTAACAAGATGCCAGGCACCAGAATTCCAGGTATGCTGGTTTTCACTTTTCTGAAAGAAAGATCCAAGCACAATGCCTATAATAAATATTAGAAATGTTCTGTCTCCATTGGGAAATTAGCCAGTATAAACAATCTAACATATATAAATAAAACCAAACAACAGTTACTCTTTTCCATAGTGTTATGTTTTTGTGTTCAATGAAATATTTAATTTCATTACAAAATTTCTAGCATTTCTCAGAGGGATAAGACAAATAAGCACACCGCAAATTAACAAGAAAAACACAAAACAACTTTCATAAATTAAAACTGTCTAGTGCTTTCCTTTCCTATAATCATTGTCACTGAATAAAGTACCTGTTGGACAGAGGCGGCTGGTTAATGGCAATCTCCACTCACCCTTTTCCCATCAGTAACAATGGCCTCTAATGCTTAACTGAACACATGATCACCAGGAATAAATATTATATTCCCAATCTTTTCTTAACACAGGGCATGACACACGTAACCAATTTCTGACCTGTGTTGTGTAAGGGGAAGTGATGTGTGTAACTTCTGAGAAGTTGACTTACATGCAATGGGCATATCCTATCTTTGTGCTTTCTTCCTTCTTGGAAAGGCAGTTGTGATGGCTGGATCTGGGGCAGCCATGTAACAACACGAGAAGCAGCAGCAGCAGCACTTGGGTGTGGCAAACAACAAGATAATAGGCATCTGGATTTCAGTTTTTTTTTTTGTTTGTTTGTTTTTTGTTTTTGTTTTTTTTTTGAGATGGGGTCTCCCTCTGTCACCAGGCTGGAGCACAGTAGCAACATCTCAGCTCACTGCAACCTCCACCACCCAGGTTATAGAGATTCTTTTGCCTTAGCCTTCCTAGTAGCTGGGGTAAGAGGCATACACCACCACACCCAGCTATTTTGTATTTTTAGTAGAGATGGGGTTTCACCATGTCGGCCAGGATGGTCTCAATCTCTCGCCAGCAGCATCTGAATTTCTGATGATCATGAAGACATCATATCTGAACTGGGGTGTCCACATATACCTGAGAGGCAAAAATGTCTATATTATTTATATGAGTTCTCAGCCTACACTGCACATATGAATTATCAGAGAACTTTCAAAATGTATCAAATGCACGGTCCTATTAAGATCTCTGGAAATTTATTCATGGCCTGTAATTTTCCACTGGGTCAACTGTAACCCAGGCTTACCTGTCTGCTACATCCAGAGACTGTACCCTGCTCCTAGGCAGTCTTGCTTGCTCCACAATTTCATATGTGCCGCAGAACTCACCCTCTGCCTACCATAACCAGCAAGGAGTGAGGCACTACCTTCTCTCAGCTGACTCCTGTGCTGCAGAAACTTACTAAGAAACACCGTGGATGTGTTTCAGACTCAGAATCAAATTCTTTTTAGTCACCACATTTTAGAGATTCTGAATGAGTATATATGAGCGGGTCCAGGGTACCAGCATGCTCCCTTCTCACCCAAATGAAAATTACTGGAAAACTATATTATTTGGTATTCGTTTACACAAGGCTGAGTGTAACTGATTAGTTAATAGTAAAAGGTTTGGTGTCGGTAAAAGAGTTGAATTATTCTAAACCATAACATTCTAGCTTCAGGGTTTGGGTGAGATGATGATATATATATATTTTATTCCTGAGAAGGAGTCTCACTCAGTCATCCAGGCTGGAGGGCAGTGGTGTGATCTTGGCACACTGCAATCTCCTACTCAGGGGTTCAAAAGATTCTCTACCTCAGCCCCATGAGTAGCTGGGATTACAGGCGTGCACCACCACGCATGACTGGTTTTTGTATTTTTAGTAGAGATGGGGTTTCACCATGTCGGCCAGGCTGATCTCAAACTCCTGGTAGTAGGCGATCCACCCATGATTCACCTGCTTTGGGCCCCCAAAGTGCTGGGATTGCATGTGTGAGCTACCATCCCCTGCATGAGATGATATTTTTGAGCCACAGTTTTCTCATCAGTAAACCAGAGATACTAATAGTAATTTCAGGTATTTTTGTGAGACATATATTATTGAAATTATTATTATTAAATTAATTTCATAATACATTCTTATATTAATTATTCTTATAATTAAACTATTGAAAGCATTTTATAAACTTGCATGGTGCTAGAGGGCACTTTAGTCCTTAAAGAGGCGGCAAAAGTAAATGAATTTCCTTTATGCAATAAAAAAAAAAAAGTAAAGATGCAACGTTTGATTTTATTTTTCGTGTTTTGTAATGCAAAAAAACCCTTCTTTTATTTAAATTACAGCATATGCAAATTAACTTTTGGGTCATATAATCATTCTGGATTATTTCAGAAAATTATTATGGTTTCATCACTTGATTGTAAAAATGTATTAATATTCTCAGTTTAAAGAAAATGCACAGGTTTTAAATCCTCTCTGATAAGGGCTCATGAACTTAGAGCTGCTGATTTTTTAATTTGCAGGGTTTTTACATAACAAATTATCAGAAACCAAAGCACCCAGATAGCATACTATGAATAGAAAACATCTTTCCTGAACAAGTACAGGCTTTATTACTTAATTGTATTTACACTGATGAGCGCACACAAAGAAAAATCAATTTGTGGGAGTTTATTTCATTGGTATTGAAATTGTATCTTCCTTGAAAATCTTGGCACAAAGTGCCTAGTTTGTCTCCCAAGTTTATTAAATTATTCTTTCACTATATTCTGTGCTGTTATGTGGTTTTATATGGGCTCGATAGTTGAGTGGTCAAAATCGCTTTTCTAAACTTTAGAATATTAACTTCCAATATTTACCAAAAAAAATGCATGTATTACAAAATCACACTAAAAGGGCATAAAATAAATGTGAATACTCAACATACTTAGGTTTTTTCTGGAACCTTTCTGAAAGTATTAAAAGAAGAGGCTGGAAACCAGCAGTTATAATATTGGTTATTTCCCTACCAACTTAATGATAACATTAAAGCGTGCTCAGCATGCTTTCTGAAATGAATAAAAATGCACTTTTACAACTTTTATTGTGGAAAATCTGGAAGGAATGCTAGAAAACCATTCCGATGTACTCACCCAAACAAGACAAAATACCCACACCTTATCCAACTCAAACAATCATTTAATGAATCAAAAGAGCTGAGATGCCCTACCCTCTCTATCTGCTAAAGGCTTCCATCAGCTGGGTGCGGTGGCTCACGCCTGTAATCCCAGCACTTTGGGAGTCTGAGGCAGCTGGATCACGTGAGATCAGGAGTTCAAGAC